CAGCAGGATTGCTTTTAGGTCTCCTGAGGCACATTTCATTTTCCAGATGTTTTAAAAGGGTGTACTTTTTCCTCATTTATTAGTTAACAGGGCTAATTTTGTCCTTAAAAATGCATCAAAAGCCACGATTATGTCAGTACATCCTGAGGGATTTCAGCAAGTTCTAGAAATAAAGCTCACCAGGTCCTAGCATAGGGCTTCACCGAACATAGGTTCCGAGTGCCTGACATAGCACTATGGCTTGTGTTCCTTATTTGAGGCTAACTGTAAGCTGTTCACTCAAAAACTAAGAGCTTTTTAGCACAGGTAGCAAAATAAGCCTCTGTTGAACTTTCAGAGGAGGTACAGCATTGCAGTGAAAGTTACTCCTCTAGATGTGGACTAAAAACAAAATACTGTTTACACCCTAGGGCATATTAACTGTCCAAGCAAAAACACTTCTAACAGTTCATTAGCATTTGACTGAAACTTAGCACTAGGATTTAAAGACGGGCGAGTACTCAGGTGCCTTGCTCAGGGCCATTTTCGCTATGGTAACAGAAAGGATCCCTCCCACTCCACAGGCAATTCTCACACCGTGTACAATAATTCTAGGCCTCCAAATTTATTCTGGCAAGAGTAATTCTTGAATGCCCTCTTCCACCCTCTCCCATCCCCAATTTTATTTACCTCTTTCCACATAATGTTCTGCCACATCCCATTTCTTAAAACTGAAAAAGAATTTTAAGGTTAGATTATAAAAAAAAGCCAAGATTCATACAAATTTCAAACAACTATAGCAGCAGTAGTGAACAGTAGGTGTGAAAAGTACTTTTCAGAAGCTGGCACCACACTTTTGTCCACAGCTGGAAGCATTTGCATCCAAGAAACTGCCCCATTTTTATCACCTGCTAGACAACAGTTGGTGGCCCAATTTCTTCTGGGCATCATTTCCTACTATCTCACAGATAAGCAGTGTTGTTACTTGTTTGGGAAATAACCTTCCTTAAAATAAAGGGCATTCTTGCCCACTGTCAATCAGTATCAGGAAGCACCTTTACTCCATATATGATTTAAACACAATTTTCACTTCTCACCTTCTTCCCAGCATTTTATTAATTATGATTTGACTCTGACACATCTAACTTCACTACCATATCAATTACCCTTAAAAGGCTTAATTGTCAAGCAGGCTCCAAGTCCTACTGAAAAGCAAAGATCAGCTTTGGCAGAAGGAGAATCCTAAGTGCTGAAGTTCACATTGAAAGGAAAAAAGAAAACAAAATACTCAAACAGGCCTTGGCCTCTGTCCTGTACTGCTGTCTTAACACGCTCATTGGTCATCTACTCTAGAACATACTTTTCCCACCCAAGTACTTCTTCTAGATGCTTCTACACATAAGTAATACTACCCTAGTCCAAACAGTAACAACAAAAATTTATGTCAAATCATTGCTGAGTAACCAAATCCAGTCCAGGTCTGAGCATACCAAGTGCACAAAAAAAAAACCCTCAACCCCTTCACTGAGAGCAGCTGCAGCCAGTTTTTAAAGAAGAAATAGCGGAAAGTTGAAAAGACCAGCCCCTCACTTCAAATACAAACCATTTTCCCTCAGTTCTATGCAATTCGCCGATGTAGCACACCAAATTCCCAGAAGATAAAATTCTGTTGAATACAGCTTCAGCTGCCCTACTCAGGTTAGGTCACTCCATGAACTGTCCTCAGGCCACACGCTTTGGAGTGCTTGTCGTGGTTTAGGGTTGTCGTGGTTTAAGGCAGCACTAAATCCAAACGAGTATAAGCAAGGTAGGGGAAGAACAGTTTTGTTGCACTCCTTCCTTCCCTCTTCCAAGCTGTGCTTGAATCGAGCTTTGCTTAGTTCAGAACTTGAGAAGGCCTGAGCCCAGCACCTCAAGTGAAAAAGCCATGCACCTACAGCCTTGACTCTAAACCCAAATCCTCAGAGAGGAACTGCAACACTCTGCCATATCCTGTGCCTTGATTTAAACAACTCTCTTCCACCAGAAAGCTTTGGAGACACTTCAGCGAACAGTTCAGATTGATGTATGTTCATATGCAATGAAGACGTTTTGTAGCTTGAAGTGCCATGAACTTGGTGTAGGCATTCAGAGGATATCAGTATTAAATTCTCTTTCAGTGACATTTCAGGAAAGCAAATCCATAAAATCCCAACAATTCTTCCTATATTATTTTAAGGGCAGCAGCATTTCCAAAATTACTTAAGATTCCTTTGACACCAACTTTTAGTGTTTCAAGGTTTTGTTGGAGTTTTTCTGGTTGGTTGCTTTGGTTGGAGTTTTTTTTATAGGGGATGTTTGTTTAGTGGTTGGGGTTTTTTGTCCTGGGTGTTTTGGGGTTTGTTTTAGAACAATCAGCACAGAGTTTGGCAGGGGAAGAAAATTGCTTGGTTGTCTTGGAAGAGCTGAGACCTGTTTAACTTTGGACAACCTTGAAATTATAAATTCTAATAACCCCCCCCATGCCTCACCCTCAAGTGTCACACTATCAGCAGTCCAAAACATTTGGTGAAGTAAAATCCTAACATGACAGTCACTAGCTAGTCCAAAAAGACACACATTCCCCACTATCATGACTGTTTAAGCAATAGAACTGTCCACAAGTGTTCTGGTATCCACTGTTTGCACTTTAAATATTTAAACTTAAAGACAGTTTAGTCTTACCTATTGTTTTCTTTTTATTCACTGCACTGTCTGCCTTATGTCTTTTCTGCAAGAAAATAAAAATATTTCATTACACCTTATTACACTTCATTACAGATTTCAAAAACCATTAGAAACAAGGCAAACTTCAAGATGATACATTGGGTTGATTTTGCCTTTATAGTTTTTTTTAAAAGCTACACAGATCATCTAAATTCCAACAGTTTGTAAAAGAAAGTAACTTTAAAGTGAGATTCCCCATGCTGAAAGTCAGGCTCAAACCTGGATCAACAGCAGAAAAACAGTCTCCAAAATTGGTTTTTGGAAGAAAACAAAAGGAACACTGAGCAACAGTGTATTTCGGTGACAGATGCACTATACATTTCATGCGCTGTTTGTTTAGACTGATTTCTAAATTATTTCATTAAATCAGAACTTTGCAAAGCAGAAAGACTCCTTTATTATAAACACTATCTAATCAAGTTAGTGCAGAACTTCCCCAGAACAGTCTGCTCTATGCTGAGGTTGCTTGTCCTACCCACCCACCCCAACCCTGCCATTTTCAAGATCAACTAAAAAGGTCACATATCTGTCAGAACTCTACAGTGTCTTTCTAGCCAGACCTTTCTAATAAAAGCATGAATAAACACATTTGAGTAAGTAGAAGCAAGTGTCCTGACCTGTACTGTTTCCTTGTTCACCATCTATAATGAAGATGCTTAGTTAATCTCAGTGTGCTACAAAAATCCTAGTCAAGTTCAGAGCTTTGAAAGTCAAAAAGATATATTGCTGCTGTTCAGCAATGGCTCAGTAGACTTCAGACATGCACGGCTTTGTGGCATTTTGTGACTGTTTTGAAACACTGTCTTCAGCACAGCCTTCACCATAATCATACTCACATAGTCTTCTATGATTTCTTTGATGCCAGCAACTGTTAAAATAAATAGCAATGGCACCAAGGTGGTATATCTTCCTGTTGGAGAGACATCTGGAATTTGCTGTGAACAGAGGGAGAAGAAATAGCATTTTATATTTGTATTTAAAATTAGTTGCTAGCAAATTTAGAAGTTTATGCAAAGCTCTCAGAAGAGAGAAAGCAGAGCTTTGCTATTTGTGCCAGACTGGCATCCCACTTCAGTGGGCAAACCAGCCTAAGCTCTCAGTAGGTCTGAAGAAACTACCACCATGAAGTTAGAAGATAAAATTGTTGCACATGCCTTTTATTCTGTTTCTCCTCTACTCACAAGAAAAGCATTCAAATGATGTAATTCACCTGGAAGCAGTGATACTATGGCTGTCTAAACAGCACTTCCACAGGAATCCACAAATACTTCTCAGTATGGTCAATACCTCCATGTTTTAATAAGTAAAAACAAGATGTAGTATTCTCAGAATAAAAGTAGCTTGATTTTACAAACTACACTAAATTAGAGGGCAACTTAGAGACATTTTTCAAATTACTGAGTACAAACCTCATTAATATTACTATTAAAATATGTCTAAATTTCTTTGCAGTTAAGCATAATAACTGAAACAACTTTTACTGCATTCCAACTTCATTTTATAATCAAGGCAAGGCAAAAAAACAATACCTGCAGTAAGGCAATGAAGAGGAAGAATGCATTTGCAGCTTTTCTTATCTGCTCATACAGGAATCGAGGTAGAAATGTCACCACGCTGTACTTGGCTGTGCTGCAGGTTAGAAGGTTTTTATTTTAGTACTTCATTGGAGTATCATACTGGGATTATGACCAAAACACATTTCAAGTGGGTTTCTAAAAGACAATGTTAACAAGTGGCTCAAAGGTCACACAGCAAAGACATTTAGAGAACATACATGGAAGAAGCTGCCTACGTTATGAGGAAAAGCTGCACTGAACACAAGAGGTATCACACAGGCCCGGATGGCTGGCAGTCCCCTTTTAATCACTGCTACCTTTATTATTGGGTGAACTATCAAATAATTTACTATCCATCCAAACTTCAGAATCATGAACAGGCAGTCCTCCACCTCTGTTCCAAGCACTTGATCCAACTGCTTACCCCTCATCAAAACATGGTACTCAAATGTTTGGGGAAACAGAGTTGAATATGGGAGAAACTATAAATTCTGCAGTGCCATTTTTAAAATGCCTCATTTCCCAGTTGAGAACCACTCTATATTCAAGTTATAAATAAACTTCCAGAACAATACACACTTTTGCAGATTAATCTTTTATCACTATTTTTCCTGAGTAGTTATATTACTATTTCTTCTACCATAAAACAAAAGTATACTGCACTAACTACTCTCAATAATCAATGTAATTTCTTGTCTTCCTCATATTAAACGCACAATGGGCACGAATACAACTTCAGGGAAAAACATAGCCAAGATGACAAGATGATAAAATTATTCCATTGTAAAATGGGTTGAATAAGCCACCCCTGTGCTGTCAGGTTACCAAAACCAACCTAAAAGAGATTAAAACTCTTATCTTACAAAGTTCTCACTCTCTGAACACATCAGTTACAGCCCAGGCATGTACACACCTTCTGGACACAGTGCAAGGAAACTCATCACTACAGAACTTGTCTGAGCAGTGAGAGTGACTGAGTCGATCTAGCGTGCAATGTTCCACTACATGAGGAAAAAGTGTTCTTATAGTGATAAGAGCAGCTCTGCCTTACCTCCGTCCATTGAATCAGCACAGAACCTTCTCCTACTGTAAACTACTGGGCATCAGCATGAGTGGGAGTTTTAAGAACTGGGTACTTGCAGCTGCAGCTCACTTGTTTTTCCCCCCAAACACCTAATGTAAGCTCTGCAAGAGCCAGATTACCTGTGACAGGAGTTGTGCTTGTGTTTTGGGGAACTGTTTTGCTCCTTTGGGGTTGGTCTATTTGCTCTGTTTTGTTTTAAAAGAAGTCTTATATTTCCAAGGAACAGAAAAGCCCAAGATACTCCTTTCAAGAAAGAAGAAAAACAGTTTCCTAAAGCAGTAACAACACAACTCTGAATACAAACAAGATGCTGTTTTACTCAAGTTCCCTAGAAATGTCAAGAGCACCTTTCCATTAAGCCTGATGCTCTGTGCGAAATGCTTTTCTAGGTCTCTCCCACCAATAAGCCTTCAATTGAAATCCATGGCATTACTATCACAAATCATAAAGGACTAGTATAATCAAATGCTTTCTTTACGTGATCTGCCTGTCACAACTGACTGCTACACATAAAAGTTACTACAACCTTGATCCACCAGCAATTAAGTTCAGTGGGGTTCTCTTTAACCTTGTACATACAAAAGGTAAGTGTAAGCACTGCATTTTGTAAGACTACTTATTTGCTTTAACCATTTTCCTCTTCCTCTCATCTTCTCCATCTCCAACTTCAAGCCATCTCATGAGATACTGCTGCACCTTCCAGAACCAAACAGTAACAAGATACAACATGGCACAGTTTGTCCTACAAAGCTCTGGTTTGGACACCAGAGCAGAATCAGTGGGGGAAGTTAAACAAAATGATCAGTTGAAAAGCTATTAAGATCCCATCTTATCACTTAGTTTCCTCCACAAGCAACTGCAAACTCCTACTAAGTTGGATTCAAATCAGTTATTACTTTAACTGGATCTCTAAAAAAAATTTTAAAAGCAACAGACAGCATTTCTAGCACTACAGCCAGGTTCAAAGCATGTAATGTAGCATATTTAATGCATAAATGAAGAGAAGTTACTTTCTTGAAATGCTACTAATTTCTTCCAACTATAAGCATTTTTTTGTTGTTTTAAGCTACATGTGCTTGGTCTGATGTGTAATAACCTTCCTTTATTACAGAACATAATTAAACACGTCTCTGAAGTACCTTGTGACATTAGAGAGTGTTAATCAAGTTAACAGTTTAGACCTACAAGTCAATTCCCTGAGCAATACTAATTAGAAATCAAGGATTGGCTGATTTTTATATCAAATTAGCATTCCCCTGGATACTGCATTGCTATGACTATATTAAAGCAAGAATTTGTCTAACTGCAATCAAGCCGAAATATTTATTAACAACCTTCTACCATTTACCAGCTTTGCAGCTACCAGGTTCAAACAACATTCTTACCCTAAAAATTGTGTTAACGTCAACATAATCAAGTTCTTCTGAATGACCTTTAAGCATACCAAGTCACTGCATGTATTTTGCTGCTTAAGTAACATGGCAGATGCCTACGGAAAATAGGGACACTTAATTAGAGAGGGGCATATTCAGCTGTTACCATACAGACAGGAACAGTAATTACACATCTATATAAAAAGCAGGTGCATATTATAATTAACAAAAAAGCTTCTTATGAAAAGCTAACTAATACTCTAAGCTGGACAGGGGTATTTGATTAATTTACCTCTGAAGAACAGTTCTCTAAAGGACAAATACAATACTTAATTAAAACAAAAAAAAAAGAAAAAGGCTTTGTGCTCCCAGCAGACAGATGCATTACAGATGACATCAGGACAATCAAAGCTCAAAAAGAAGTTAAAAATCTACAGGTAAATAAGTAGAAAAGTCAGGCAGTTCACTCAGCACAATTTTGGTCACTAAAGATAAGTATCTACAAAGATTAGCCCCCTGACCAGCTCCAATCAGAGCCACTTCATCTTCAAGGAAGTGCCTGGTACCAAACACAGGGCAGGCTGTGAAGGGAGAGGTGGGAAGCACAAGCAGGAAACCAAACAAACTGTTTTTTTCCTAAAGTAACATCTGTTCCCTGTGCAAACCTTGCTTAACTGCACAAGTTTAAACATCAAACAGGTGTGCAAACATAGGAAGAGATGCCTCCTCTGTATCTGCAACTTAATTCATGTAAGTCATGTTTCAAGTTACACAAAAGTGCAAGTCAGGAGGAGCACTACCAAACCCTATTAAACAAATCAGTTTGGATACACATCAGTACTGCTGGAAGTCTGGCCCCACTGCTTCTAGGGCAGTGCAGTGATTTTTCTGAAAGCAATCGCTATATAATTTGAAAGAAGTTCGTGTCATTCACATACACCACCATACTACTGAAGGACCAAGAATTAGTTATTTTGGTAACACAAATGAAAATCAGCAAACAGTGCACCGAGAAACTTGGCAGGAATTTTCCAGTGTAGTTCCTCCATTTATTGAGAATGGGATTTTTGCATGACTCCCATAGTTGCCATTTTCCCTGCTTTTCCAAAACTCTTCATAAAGCCAAGTTTTTCTCTATTGAATCATCCCTGGAGCGGCAAAGGTTGACACAGCAATAGAGGCAGAGAGGTTACTGCCTTGAGAAGTTTATGAGTGCTGGCAACATGCAGCTGAACACAGCTCTACGTTTTCCCAGCCAGCCAGAACACTTCCACCCTTTCCTTGAGGATTTCAGTTGACAACTCTGAGATGAACCTCACCTTCAGGCTTATCATGATAAAGAAAACAGGACCTCCTTGAGACACACATGGCCTCATTTCCAGGGTTGAGAAGTACAACTAACTCCTTTCCTAGACAGCATTCACTCACAGCTATGCTTTCCACAGTTCACGTACTTGAAACAAAACCAAGAGCTGAAGAATAAGTATGGCTTAAAGTTAGTACTTTTAGCACACATTAGTCCACAAGAACCATTACTAAGAAAGTCAGGCACAGACATCCAAGCCACAGCAGAAGGGCTGGGTAACTGAAGTGAGCAGTAAGGACTTGAACTCTTCTCTCAGCAAATAGGTTTTGTTTCCATTAACACTTACAAAAGATCAGATGCCCTGTAACAGAGAAGGAAGAGAAAAATAACAAAACCCAAGATTATCTGCTTGAATTGAGGGCTCAAATACTGTCTCCAGTGGAACACTGTGTGCACTAAGGTCCTGCAGGCAAACATTTCTTATAATGACAAAATTGACAGCAGCTTCAGAGGTTCTGCTGTGGCTCAAGTACAGAAGCAGTGTGAACACAAGCTACCTCCAGACTCACCATTGCTGTGGCTGCAGGAAGTACAGCAGTATGTTCTACATATTTTAAGTTACGTTTAACTACATTAACACAAACCAACAGGCAATTACTACAGTGGGTACAGAGAAAGCTTATTCATAGGAGCATCACCATACAATGCTGCCACGCAGAATACTGACTAAGTATCAAAATATTAGCTAGGCACAAATCCAAGTGTCACCAACAAGAATTTTAGCAGTTGTATGCATACAACTGAAAGATCATTTACATCTTTGCACATACAGAAAATAGTTTATTTTGATCATGAAACCTGGAAACAAAAATATTCTCTCTACAAATTCCCCCAAGAATGTATCATGAAGGCTTACAAGGAGCAATTACTTACATGCCTATGCAATAGTTATTGATTGACTGGAAACTAGGTCCTAAACAACCTGTGGCGGTTTATTATAGCAAGCAGCAATTTCTGCCTGAATCAATGCAGCCCCCAATTTAATTGAAGAGCCTTGCTTTGTCAGATGAATCCTTGATACTTCAGCTCCTGCAGAGGAACACTCCAGCCATTAACGGTTTCACCACTCTGTACACTTGACATCGACTAAGAAAAATGTACATGGTGCTTAAATACTCCAGACAGTTTGAGACAGACTCTGAGCTCAGGTCAGAATAGGTGAGTGTAAAAGGAACAAGACTTGCTCATTACAGAACCACAGAACGTTAGGGATTGGAAGGGACCTCAAAAGATCATCCAGTCCAATCCCC